CTGGTTCTAAATAGAACCATTTCTTCTAAGAGTGTATGTTGCCGCGCTAGCTTGTAGTTTGTCATTTTTTACGGTGCTGTTCATTCAACCAGTTCAATAATTCCCACACGTCTAGCTTTCGATTACAAAAGCTGTAAGCAGACTTCCTAACAAACAGTCGTTTCTCTTAGTTTTGTTGTTTTTTTCGTTATGTTTTATTGCCGAGGTTGCCATAAGACTGAGCTAGTTTGCCAGCTGAACTCAGGTGTTGTGATGTGCATCACGTAACGTTAGTCCTGTGTCTGGTTCTTATGGCGTAACTTTATCTGACTAACAGTGGACTTCCCAACTGTAATTTTTCTTCAAATTGTGTTGATTATTAATGATTCCTGCGATTATCATGAGAACATAGTCAATATCTCACATAATTATTAGGACGTATATAAGCCTAGAGGTTGTAAATGGTGTAATTGAACACAATTTGCTAACTATTATGTCAATCATGTCTAATGAAATCTTAACGGCCAATGTTATGAAATAATGCGACGTACATTTAACTTTATTGATGTCATCTGACATTTTGTAATGTTTACATTTAAAATCAACAAACACAAATGAAATAATACATTAGTCCTTCACTATAGGGTGTTTTCTTGTGATTTAGCAGAAATCATGTAAAAACGTTTTAAGCCAGCAAACGCGAAAGGCAAATTTATTACTATAAAGTAGTCTAACACAGGGGAATAGCGGTTATTTACGACAGTGCAAGTACACCACAGCGGCTCTAGAGGTCACTGTTTTACAAAAAAATCACAGAGTGCGTAGTGTGGCTTTAATGCTTGGAAAACACGCCTATGACTTCGATTGAAAAACAATGGCGATACACATAAACATACTTGTGCAATGGTTTTTTATCGAAAATGTTACGCAAATCTGTAATGGAAACACGGCTATAGATTGTGTTCTGCTTTTGAAATGGCCACCGTTTTGAGTGTTTCCCACTGAAGGCATCAGGATACGGCGAGCTTCACAAGAGGGTTCGGCACGCGGTGACCTGACTGGTTAAGTGCAGACATTGAAATCAAATGTTCCTGTAATTCCTGTGTGGGTTTGATCTGACCTGACCTCTTCAATCACAATAAAACCTGCTTGCTTGAATTAAAGCCTGATCAACAGAGCATTGAAGCTCATAACCAGAACAAAAGGATTTCTCAAGCTTTTATCAGCCGTAGTTTACCAATGCAAGACCTTTGGCACCGTTGCTGGTGTGGGTGTCTCACGAATATCTGTTTTTCTCTTCAAATCGAGACAAAAGCGGAAATTTTGGTTCATAATGTTACATTTTGTGGAAAACATTTTCAAACAAGGATTTTCAACACTTTCATGATTGTTGTCTGACTGTCTTTAGCTTGATTAACGTCGGTCAGTCAGAAGAAAATTGTCAAGTAAATATTATACTGTATACATTGTTTTATCAGCTTTACTGAATATCATGTTAATGTTTAAAATACCTTAATATCTTCATGCCTCATAGAGATATACTTATAAATCCACCTTTATTTAAAGAGCTGTACTGTACACCCATTTATTTCATGCTAAGTATACATACTTAGCATACATAACTGACATATTGCTTCACATTTACTGATATAAATATTAGAATTAAACATTATTTGGAGCACTTCTTTATTGCACAATGCACATTTCTTAACGCTAAGCCTACAACGTGTTTTAATGTCACTATTATTAAGGATAGTATGATCTCTTCTTAATATAATACTTTAAATGCAAGGTATTTAATGTATTCCTGAATTATACTTGCAATAGTTTTAGCTCAATCAAATATACGGATATGGATTTTAGCATTGTTTCCAGTTAACTAAAGTACATTATTAATATATATATATATTTTTTACGGGTCTGGAAAACTGGAAAGCCATATTGCCAGCCACTGAAAGGAACTTGTTTATTGTGGTTCATAAAAAGAAAAATCCTCTCCAGCTCAAATGATGTGGTCAGGTCATTTTGACCAGGGAAGGGTTTTCATTTTGTTCACAGAGGATATAACAACTTGACAACCCTCATGAAAAATACTATTTTTGTGCTTTTCTTTTTCTTTTTCGTGTGTCACAAATGACTTGCCTACAACAAGTTGCTTATAAATCCCTTGTTATATTGCCAAATATTGGATTCAATCTTTTTCATTTGTTTTGTTTTAATAAGCACAGGTTTTGTTCTTAGTTTTTAAGCTTGAATTTACTTTTCATTTAAAAAACAGGTGCATAAGCACAAGTAAAAGATTTTTAAAAAAACACCTATGAAGAATTAATGATGCATTGAATGTTTTAAATATGTTCATTCATTGTATTGTTTAAATGAAACTCGTATTAGATTTAGCACACCATTGCATTGTTTTGAATAGCGTCAGAGTCCGTGTTTGTATGGGGAAATCAAAATATTAGTTACTTTTAGTTGTTTACATTTAACTTTAAGTCACTTTACTTTAAAAGTACATCTTTATTCCTGTTGAAGTAGTTAAAGTTGGCTTGAAAGTGAAGTTGCGCTTGTCTTTTCTCCTATATTGTGTCATATATCGAGTGAAATGCTGGAAATGCAAATGTAGGCGGAGCTTGATTGTGTCCATAGGGAATTGATTGGATGATTTTGGTTTGCTATTGGCTGATCTCATGTGAGTGACAGGTGACAGGCTCCGCCCACATCATCAGAGAAGAGAAGAGATGCTGCAAGAAGAACTTATTCTGATTTAAGATAACCAGGAACTATAATGATATCCACCGATAAATCACTTAGAATAAATACTGCAATTTTTGATAAAAAAAAAAATGGGAATGGTAAATTTTCAAGTTTATTTATTTTTCATATATAAAGATTTTTATGTTGAAATGCATTTGGTTGAGGCTCAGGTATTCAACAGTAGTGCAATAACAATTCAATAGAATTTAGCTAGGGAAAAAGTAGATATTTACAGTCCAGTATACAAAAATGTGCAAAACAAATATATACTTTGATTTCATGGTGACTTTTCTGGATGTAGCCGTGACCCAGAAGCCTTGAAAACACACTTGTCACTTACAAGGTGTTTTTCAAAGGCTAAAATGTGCAATCAAGTCCCAAGTATTTGTGTATTTGTCCCGTGGATAATCACTCTGCACCTGACTGACAGTCGGGACTGTGAGGGAACATCTCTCCTGCTGAATGTGAAAATTACCCGCAGTAATGTAGAAGTCAGCTGGAAGTCCAGATGTGTTTGAGCTGTCCTCTCTCCATCTGGGGAACATAAAAGAAAGTAGAGCAGTGGGTCTCTGAAAGGGGTCATGAACTACATGTTTTATAATGTTTCCTGCGGTGCACTTAGAATGTCAAATCAATTTAAAATCAATTTAATTTTTTTTCATAAATTAGAAAAAAAAGGTATTCTTCCTACCTAGATTTAATCCTCTGATTTGAACGCTCTGTTTAAAGGGGTGTGTCTGTGTGAGGCTTCACTGTAAACGGCCACTGCTGTGATTCGCTGTGAGACTTCAATGTCAACGCCCACTGCTGTGATTGGCTTTGAGACTTCAGTGTAAACGTCCACTGTTGTGATTCGCTGTGAGACTTCAATGTCAACGCCCACTGCTGTGATTGGCTGTGAGACATCATTGTAAACGCCCACTGCTGTGATTGGCTGTGAGACGTCAGTGTAAACGCCCACTGCTGCGATTGGCTGAGAGACTTCAATGTCAACGCCCACTTTTGTGATTGGCTGTGAGACTTCAGTGTAAACGCCCACTTCTGTGATTGGCTGTGAGACTTCAGTGTAAACGCCCACTGCTGTGATTGGCTGTGAGACTTCAGTGTAAACGTCCACTGCTATGATTGGCTGTGAGACTTCAGCGTAAACGCCCACTGCTGCGATTGGCTGTGAGACGTCAGTGTAAACGCCCACTTTTGTGATTGGCTGAGAGACTTCAGTGTAAACGCCCACTTTTGTGATTGACTGTGAGACTTCAGTGTCAACGCCCACTTTTGTGATTGGCTGTGAGACTTCAGTGTAAACGGCCACTGCTGTGATTGGCTGTGAGACTTCAGTGTAAACGCCCACTGCTGTGATTGGCTGTGAGACTTCAATGTCAACGCCCACTTTTGTGATTGGCTGTGAGACTTCAGTGTAAACGCCCACTTCTGTGATTGGCTGTGAGACTTCAATGTCAACGCCCACTTCTGTGATTGGCTGTGAGACTTCAGTGTAAACGCCCACTTCTGTGATTGGCTGTGAGACTTCAATGTCAACGCCCACTTTTGTGATTGGCTGTGAGACTTCAGTGTAAATGCCCACTTCTATGATTGGCTGACATCTTTGCATATGAAATAGCTAAATATTACTCTCTCGAAACCAATCAGAGTCTCATCTCCCGTTCCCTTTAAAAGCTGCTATTGGCGGGTTGCTATTTACATGACGGAATTAGCGAGCGGAAAAAATGAATGCAAAATAGATCTGCTGGTGAGCAAGGATAAAGCTGTGAGTGTGAGATTAAAGCACAAACAGTCCATCTACGGGACAAAGTGTACACACGTTGTGTAGACCCGCCTTCAGTTGCACATTACTAACGCACTCTTTAAATAACAAAAAACATATTGTGCTTTTTTTTTATTAGACAAAAAAACTATTTTTATTAGACAAAAAAAAATGAAAATCTATTTCAGTTTCCTCAAATTGCAACGCACCAACAATGCACCTGAACACACACTCGTTCTCAGACCAGCAGCACATGGACGAACTAATGAGTGAAAATTCATTTGCTATTTAAACAACGTGGCGCAGGGCTGCGTTGGGCTGAATCTAGCAAAACACATTTGCATCGCGCCTGGCGCTACATTGCACCGATTGTATGATAGAGCTGGGATGCGTTGCTTCTTTTTAATTCACATTGTTATGTATTATGTGACCAGACAAACACAGGCTGGAAGGTTATATTTGGACTTTGATTTTTCACTCTCTGTTTCTGTGTGTCTCTCAGCATTACAGTGGCCATGAAGGGTCAGTCTCGCTGGGAGCTGCTGGATAATGCTCAGGTGTATTACACTGGAGCTGCTCTCCTCATACTGGGATCTCTGTTCGTCATCAGCAGCTTCATGGCTCTGGGCGTCACTGGCACTTTCCTGGGTAAATACATCCACTGATCCTTCTGTACCACATCCAGCATTACAGCTCTCCGACCTTCCATACAGATACTTATGCATATTAATATACATGTTTATATACATATTCCTACAAATATTAATATATATATATGCGTATACATATACATACATATACAAGTGCATCTATCCATCATAATAGTGCATCCATCCATCCATCATAAAAGTGCATCTGTCCATCATAAAAGTACATCTATCATCATAAAAGTGCATCTGTCCATCATAAAAGTGCATCTGTCCATCATAAAAGTGCATCTATCCATCATAAAAGTGCATCTGTCCATCATAAAAGTGCATCTATCCATCATAAAAGTGCATCTGTCCATCATAAAAGTGCATCTATCATCATAAAAGTGCATCTATCCATCATAAAAGTGCATCTATCATCATAAAAGTGCATCTATCCATCATAAAAGTGCATCTATCATCATAAAAGTGCATCTGTCCATCATAAACGTGCATCTGTCCATCATAAAAGTGCATCTGTCCATCATAAAAGTGCATCTATCCATCATAAAAGTGCATCTGTCCATCATAAAAGTGCATCTGTCCATCATAAAAGTGCATCTATCCATCATAAAAGTGCATCTGTCCATCATAAAAGTGCATCTATCATCATAAAAGTGCATCTATCCATCATAAAAGTGCATCTATCATCATAAAAGTGCATCTATCATCATAAAAGTGCATCTGTCCATCATAAAAGTCCATCTATCCATCATAAAAGTGCATCTGTCCATCATAAAAGTGCATCTGTCCATCATAAAAGTGCATCTATCCATCATAAAAGTGCATCTGTCCATCATAAAAGGGAATCTATCATCATAAAAGTGCATCTATCCATCATAAAAGTGCATCTATCATCATAAAAGTGCATCTATCCATCATAAAAGTGCATCTGTCCATCATAAAAGTGCATCTGTCCATCATAAAAGTGCATCTATCCATCATAAAAGTGCATCTATCCATCATAAAAGTGCACCTATCATCATAAAAGTGCATCTGTCCATCATAATAGTGCATCTGTCCATCATAATAGTGCATCTGTCCATCATAAAAGTGCACCTATCATCATAAAAGTGCATCTGTCCATCATAATAGTGCATCTGTCCATCATAAAAGTGCATCTGTCCATCATAAAAGTGCATCTGTCCATCATAAAAGTGCATCTGTCCATCATAAAAGTGCATCTGTCCATCATAAAAGTGCATCTATCATCATTAAAATGCATCTATCATCATAAAAGTGCATCTGTCCATCATAAAAGTGCATCTATCCATCATAAAAGTGCATCTATCCATCATAAAAGTGCATCTGTCCATCATAAAAGTGCATCTATCATCATAAAAGTGCATCTGTCCATCATAAAAGTGCATCTATCATCATAAAAGTGCATCTATCATCATAAAAGTGCATCTGTCCATCATAAAAGTGCATCTATCATCATAAAAGTGCATCTGTCCATCATAAAAGTGCATCCATCATAAAAGTGAATCTATCCATCAAAGAAGTGCATCTATCCATCATAAAAGTGCATCTATCCATCATAAAAGTGCATCTGTCCATCATAAAAGTGCATCTGTCCATCATAAAAGTGCATCTGTCCATCATAAAAGTGCATCTATCATCATAAAAGTGCATCTATCCATCATAAAAGTGCATCTATCATCATAAAAGTGCATCTGTCCATCATAAAAGTCCATCTATCCATCATAAAAGTGCATCTGTCCATCATAAAAGTGCACCTGTCCATCATAAAAGTGCATCTATCCATCATAAAAGTGCATCTGTCCATCATAAAAGTGCATCTATCATCATAAAAGTGAATCTATCATCATAAAAGTGCATCTATCCATCATAAAAGTGCATCTATCATCATAAAAGTGCATCTATCCATCATAAAAGTGCATCTGTCCATCATAAAAGTGCATCTGTCCATCATAAAAGTGCATCTATCCATCATAAAAGTGCATCTATCCATCATAAAAGTGCACCTATCATCATAAAAGTGCATCTGTCCATGATAAAAGTGCATCTGTCCATCATAAAAGTGCATCTGTCCATCATAAAAGTGCATCTGTCCATCATAAAAGTGCATCTATCATCATTAAAATGCATCTATCATCATAAAAGTGCATCTGTCCATCATAAAAGTGCATCTATCCATCATAAAAGTGCATCTATCCATCATAAAAGTGCATCTGTCCATCATAAAAGTGCATCTATCCATCATAAAAGTGCATCTATCCATCATAAAAGTGCATCTGTCCATCATAAAAGTGCATCTATCATCATAAAAGTGCATCTGTCCATCATAAAAGTGCATCTATCCATCATAAAAGTGCATCTATCATCATAAAAGTGCATCTGTCCATCATAAAAGTGCATCCATCATAAAAGTGAATCTATCCATCAAAGAAGTGCATCTATCCATCATAAAAGTGCATCTGTCCATCATAAAAGTGCATCTGTCCATCATAAAAGTGCATCTATCCATCATAAAAGTGCATCTGTCCATCATAAAAGTGCATCTGTCCTTCATAAAAGTGCATCTGTCCATCATAAAAGTGCATCTCTCCATCATAAAAGTGCATCTGTCCATCATAAAAGTGCATCTATCATCATAAAAGTGCATCTATCATCATAAAAGTGCATCTGTCCATCATAAAAGTGCATCTATCATCATAAAAGTGCATCTGTCCATCATAAAAGTGCATCCATCATAAAAGTGAATCTATCCATCAAAGAAGTGCATCTATCCATCATAAAAGTGCATCTGTCCATCATAAAAGTGCATCTGTCCATCATAAAAGTGCATCTATCCATCATAAAAGTGCATCTGTCCATCATAAAAGTGCATCTGTCCTTCATAAAAGTGCATCTGTCCATCATAAAAGTGCATCTGTCCATCATAAAAGTGCATCTGTCCATCATAAAAGTGCATCTATCATCATAAAAGTGCATCTGTCCATCATAAAAGTGCATCTATCCATCATAAAAGTGCATCTGTCCTTCATAAAAGTGCATCTGTCCATCATAAAAGTGCATCTATCATCATAAAAGTGCATCTGTCCATCATAAAAGTGCATCTATCATCATAAAAGTGCATCTGTCCATCATAAAAGTGCATCTGTCCATCATAAAAGTGCATCTGTCCATCATAAAAGTGCATCTATCCATCATAAAAGTGCATCTATCCATCATAAAAGTGCATCTGTCCATCATAAAAGTGCATCTATCATCATAAAAGTGCATCTGTCCATCATAAAAGTGCATCTATCATCATAAAAGTGCATCTGTCCATCATAAAAGTGCATCTGTCCATCATAAAAGTGCATCTGTCCATCATAAAAGTGCATCTATCCATCATAAAAGTGCATCTATCATCATAAAAGTGCATCTGTCCATCATAAAAGTGCATCTGTCCATCATAAAAGTGCATCTGTCCATCATAAAAGTGCATCTGTCCATCATAAAAGTGCATATATCATCATAAAAGTGCATCTATCCATCAAAAAATTGCATCCATTCAATATAAAAGTGCATCCATCCATCATAACAGTGCTTTACACGGCTATAGGGGAGTTAATAAAAGTGAAGCGATGTGTTTGTACAAGAAAAATATCCATATTTAAAACTTTATTATATAAAATAACTAGCTTCAAAACAGAAGCAGACGTTCACTGCCGTTATAAAACTTGGAAGAGCCAAGAAATGTTTTAATAAATGTCTTGTTGGTTATGATTGTGTTGGTCTGAAAGAATAGTGTCATGATGAGGGTGAGCAAATCATGGGCTAATTGTCATTTTTGGGTGAACTATCTCTTTAAGAGTGTTAATCCAGCACATCCCTGTTCTGGCACTTGATGTTCTGTGAGGATCTGCTAGCACATCCACACCTGACCTATACTGACCCGTTCAGTTGATGGCCAGCACTGCCCGGTTTCTGACACCTGTGTCTGACCAATCACAGTCAAGCAACACAGTTACGAACTCGGAGAAGAGAGTTTAGATGTCCAGTAAAAGCTGCCTGGCAGCATGACCTGTATTTTACAACAGCGCCGGCCGTCCTGAAACACTTATTGTGTCTTTGCCATTATAAAAGGCATGAATGTTGTGGCAAAATGACAAAATTAGGGGTGCTTTTGTAGCATTGTTTCTGTATTACATCTTGGTTGAGCATCATGGACAGGTGAATAGATAGATAGATAGACAGACTGTTGCATAATTCCTTGCATGAGTTTTCAGGTTATCATTGCTTTGTACTTGTGAATGAATCATATTTTCCATTCTTAGCAGGTGTGCAGTGTATTGTGTATTATGTATTTCGAAGAGCGATTGTTACTGCAGAGCTTTTGTCCTGAACTGGGTCAGAGAGGAGAGGAAGGTTTGAAGCCCAGATCCGGCAGGGTTCGGGTCACTCAATCCCGATGGGAAACGATGCTCTGCGCGTCTCAAGACCGGACGCAGAGATGATGGAACACTATACAAAATGCTGGGTTGTTTCAACCCAAATTTGGGTCAAATATGGACATTTGGGTTAAAAATGTAATTCAAGAAATTACAGTTTTAAGTGAAAGATGAGGTTGGGTTAAAACTTTAGATTAAATTTTTAACCCAACATTTGGGTTTGTCCATATTTGATTTGGGTTGAAACAACAGTGAAGTAGAACACAAGCTTTTGTTTAGGGAGACCTGAAAAAACACAGGTGGTGAAAGGGTTGACCATTGGACCACACACACACACACACACTCACACACACTCCTCTTTCACTCACTCACAGACAAACACACACACATACACACACACAAACACACAC